GGGGTGGCTAGGGGTTTTGAATTCATTTAAAAATATGGCTGAGTGATATTTTCGCCGGATTCATTTTTCTGGCAACACGTTACAATCATGATTCATCGCTCTTTTTTGCCGATTTGATTTAAATCCACTGGGATTCAATCCTCCAGCAGCAGTTCAGATTTCCCAAAATGCCTTGTTACTCCGCTGGTATCTGCGTCAAGTTCAGACGCTTCCGGTATTTATTAGGCGTCATTAAGAACGCTGAAGTCGCTCAGCATAACCACAGTGTTAATTTCGAACTTAACTATTCATAGATACTTTTCCCCGAGCTTGCATGCTGTTGGCATCGAAGGTGGACGACTAAGAAGTTATTTGTCGGCTACAATAGCGGTAAGCATGTTTCTTCCTGCTTCATAAGCTACTTTTTCTTAAGCCCTTCGAGTTCAGTAGAGTCAACCTGCTTTTACAAGCCGATTTGTAGTATACAACGCTTCCATTCTTTGCTTTATGGATAAGTATGATGGTTCTGATGCCAGCTTTTGTGATATTGTTCTTTAAAAAATCGATCGAGTAAAACATGTGGTTGCGTGATGCAAGTAATATCGCCGGGAGGTTTTTGACGTAACAGCTGAACATCTTGTTGTTGTAGTGAAGCGAGCGGGAGCAAAAAAATTCACCCGCATTCTATATAAGATCATCGTATTATTGTACGATTGTTTTAACATTGATAAAGCTAGCACAGCGTGAAAAAAACAACTAGTGGTAATAACTAGATGATTAAGACCTTCCAAGGTTCTGATGCCTCTTTGTCGCTCATTTTCCAACCCACCTGTCGCCTATTTGGGTAGAGACAAATGTCGCTGTCGTTTTTTCGCTACAATACAAATGTTCCCTAAACGTAGTTAATTTTTGCGTCCTGTAATTTTCATTAATTTAAATAGTAAGCGCCCGTAAAAACCTCCTTCTTTTTTAGTAGGAGACAACCACTTTAGTTTCCGGTCAGTGTAAAATAAGACTGCGGACTGCGGACTGCGGACTGCGGACTGCGGACTGAAGTCTGCGTACCTTAAATTACCATACTTTCATAGAAGGTCATCCAAATCTTCTGCAGAATATCGTTCTCTGTTGTTGGAATGATTTACTCCCTTTTTACCGCCATTATCCCTTTTGTACAGGTATTTTGGGTCAGCAGCTTTTATTTAAGCATCAACATCATGGTGTTGTACCAATTCATGATGTATCGAAATTTGAAGCGTGAGGTTTGTCGGACGGAAAAAAGGTTAAAGATTGCGATTGTTTTGGGCCGTCGACGATGTTCCAGAGAAGGAAGTAATGGATTTGTGAAAGCAGATGTCAAGTAAATGATCGTTTACATATATTTGCGGGATTTTTTGCCCTATAAACCTTTCCACAACTATTATACAATTTATACTCGGTCTGCATTTTGCACCCAGCTTAATGCGTTTTACTCTCAGTCTGCAGTCTGTATTTTCACTCAGTCTGAATTTTACCGCTAGTCCGCAGTCTGCAGTCCGCAGCCTGCATTTTACACTGACCTGACTCAATGGCTTGAGTGTAAAGTTACAAAAGGCTATAAAGGCTTGACAGCAACGAACATGGCACACTAGCGTCACAAGCACATGCATGTGTCAACCTTTAATGTACCACAAAATAAAAGGCAATAAGACACTCAATGTATGACAAGTGTTGAATAATGGTTTGTTTAATGATTTAATATCTTAATTTGTACTCAAGAAATAGTAACGCCAACAGAAGATTTAGAGTCACGCTGGCCTGGTTGGTTATGTTGCTGTCAAAATAACAAATGATAAAGGTGTCACTTTGTCAAAATTAAAAATGGATTGTCACTGTCAAATTGTTGCTTTTTTTCTGCAAGTTTCTGTCGGCTGTCGGCTTTTTGGAACACGATTGCCCCTACATTTTTCGCAATTATTTTGGAGCGATGTCGCTTGTCACCAAAACCCCTTGGAAGGCCTCATAATTAATATGAAACACATGGTCTAACCTGCTGTCAATCTGTGTTATTCAACTGGTTCGCCACATAACTAATTTAAGTATTAACCACAAAATTTTTATAAATAACTGTTTCGCCACATACCGTAAAATTCCGGAAATAAGCCCCGGGGCTTGTATTTTTCAAAGGTCCTTTTTGAGGGGCTTATTTTGGAGGGGCTTATATTCGGAGAGGCTACGGAGGGATATTTGCGTTTCAAAATCGATTGGGCTAGCCTTATAGTTGGAAGTAAATTTACCGTTTTAGCTTTGTTTTACTTTGTATTTGAGGGCAATTTTCCAAGAACAACACCCTGGGGGGCTTATATTTGGAGGGGTGATTTAACAGAGGGTTTTTTGCGTTACCGGTTTGGGGGGGCTTATTTTCGGAATTTTACAGTAACTTAGTATTTACCACATAATTTTTAAAAGTTCAATAGTCAGAATGAATCAGTCACAAAAAAAAAGTCAGTGTCTTGTGAATATAGAGGGTTCAATATATCGAGATGCCTACACTTATAAATAACTTCACAGGATTTACAACAGTGCAATGCATTTTGGTGGGAAAATGTCACAACTCAAAAAGGGAATCTTGATTCTGGGATCCGCTAATTTTTGCCTGNGGGATATTTGCGTTTCAAAATCGATTGGGCTAGCCTTATAGTTGGAAGTAAATTTACCGTTTTAGCTTTGTTTTACTTTGTATTTGAGGGCAATTTTCCAAGAACAACACCCTGGGGGGCTTATATTTGGAGGGGTGATTTAACAGAGGGTTTTTTGCGTTACCGGTTTGGGGGGGCTTATTTTCGGAATTTTACAGTAACTTAGTATTTACCACATAATTTTTAAAAGTTCAATAGTCAGAATGAATCAGTCACAAAAAAAAAGTCAGTGTCTTGTGAATATAGAGGGTTCAATATATCGAGATGCCTACACTTATAAATAACTTCACAGGATTTACAACAGTGCAATGCATTTTGGTGGGAAAATGTCACAACTCAAAAAGGGAATCTTGATTCTGGGATCCGCTAATTTTTGCCTGTGGAATTGGGAATTCGAAAATGTTTGTTTGGGAAATCTGGAATACAGCTCAAGGAATCCGGAATCCTACTAATGATTAGAATCCGGAATCCAGTAATAAATTGGAATCTGGAATCCACTGCATGGAATCCAGAAATCCAAGACTGTCTCGAATTCCCCTATAGCTACATGGGGTGACAAATATATAACTGTCTCTTGTTTAAATTATCATCATTGACTGTCAATCTCCAAGTTCCAGTCTCAGTGACACATCCCCACCCAGAGTACCCCTTCTCCCCTCTCTCAAAGTGCTCAGCAAGGAGGGGTGATTTCATGTCAGGGTTGTATTCATGTGTATTAGAGAAAGGCCCTTAGTTATTTGTATCAAGGTGGCCCATTTAGATGCCTCTGCACCTGATATCAATTGGGGCCCTGAGAGCTTAAGCAAAGTTTTTTTTGAGCACCCAATGCAACATCAACCAGGGCCGAATTGTTCAAAGCTGGGTTAAGATAACCCAGGGTTAGCGTGAGATTTGAATTCAGATTTGAAAGCTTAAAAAGCATTTCCGTTTTAATTCTTCTTGTCTACAAGTTGATGCTTGGAAGCTCTAACAATAACAGAGAAAATTATCAGAGAAAATGCTTTTGAACACAAGAAAGAAAAGCCTGGGTTAAACTTAACCCCATGTTAAGCGCTAATCAGCCTTCGAACAACTGGGCCCAGAAGTGTAAAGGCCTTTTCCCCTAATAATTACCTTGATGCTACCACGTGTCCACCCTGAGAATGCCAAAAGCTCACTTCTGGTTGATATGCATCATTCAAAAACGTCTTTACTTAAGCTCCTTAACATCATCATTTTCATTGTGAATCTTATAATATCCTGCCCCTACAGATGGAGAAGCGCAAGGTACTCTTAAGTACAAGTAATGTTATTCCTTTTCATTTTCCAGGAAGATGTGGTCTTATTACTACCCTGGTCTATTCTCGCTTGTGCTCATGGCAACTTTAAGCACAGTGACCCATCAATCCCCTCTTTATGTTAAATGTAGTTTTGGTGAATTATATTACCCAAGAAATACTACGGTCAAAATAAATGGAACACTAACGCCAGAATTTAGCAATGCAAGAAGCTGTCTTGTCCAGCCTAATATTACATCTGCAATCATTCGTGTGACTCTAGAAGGGCTGAATATGTCGAGTGATGTGCGTGCCCTTTATTCTGTGGTCCTTGAAAACTTGAATGTTCTGTTTGTGGGTGAAGCTTTTAATCTTAGCAATAAACAGCAGTACCATTTTCATGTGTGCCCTTCTGAACAATCAAGAACAAACAGTCTTGATGTTTTATTCTTTGGAAAGCCCGTCAATGAGTCATTTGCCGTGGAAATTGATCTGGATGATTCTGTGTTAGATCTTGGTGAAAAAGAATACGCGTCTGTTCCCTCTTATGGTTTGGCAATAGTCAAAGCATTTGACATTAAAGAAGAGCATTTGTCCAGCTTAATTCAGATTACAGTGTCTTCTGAAGAGCCTGATATTGAATGTCTCCTTGTGGTGTCTCAAAGCTGCTTGTGGGCACAAAAACAAGGACTTGCCAAGGTGCAAAGTAGCAAGGCTTCCCTCCAACTTACTTTCACAAAATCTGGTCGTATCACTTTGTCACAGTTTTCACTCCCCAGGATTACAAAAGGCCGGTGGTATATTGGAATAAGAAGGAAAACCCTTGATGTGGAACGTCCTTCTGTCAACAAGAATAAGGAAGTCAGTGTGACTGTCACGAAAGGTATCATGCCCAGTAAGATTCGTCCTACTCTTTATATGTGCTTGATTGCCATTTTCGGTGGCATTGCAATAGCTGCCTTTGCTCATTTCTACCTCAATTCTGACTTTGACCATTGTAAACCTCCATATCATTTGGAAGAAGCTAATGAGCGAAACCGATTACCCAGTAGAGGCATTGTAGATTATGTACCTGAGCCGATACCGCGATTGACATTTCCACTGAAGCAATGGGTTAAAGTCATCTTTGTCGCCTGGTTTGGACGAGGTATAAAAACATACCCTTACCTCACTGGTGTACTGGCTATAAGTTTCATGGTGGGTTCAGCCCAGTTTGTTATTGCGCGTTGGTCCAACATGATTGAAGAAGGTGACCGAGATCTTTGCTACTACAATGAACTTTGCTACCGACCAGTTGCCATTGCTGATATGCCATCCAACTTCATGCTCAGCAATGTCCCATATGTTATTCATGGCATCTTCCTTGCTTTGTCCTTCTCTTTCAGAGAAGCCATTGCATTCGAAGCCAGTCAATCAGAGAACAGGTACAGTCTACAAAACGCTGGTCGCAAGCGATTTGTCCCATATGATTATTCCATAGCCTATGCACTTTCTTGGGCATTGGTGTTTGAGGGTCTGTTCTCAGCTACATATCATCTGTGCCCATCCCGTCTCACATTTCAGTTTGACTCCGCCTTTATGTTCATCATCTCCGGATTGGTGGTGATTGCACTATACAACTGCCGAGTGAGAAGCTTAAACTACATAGAAACACAAGGCAACACCACAAAACCCCCAAGTGAGACAACAATCCAGGCTCCAAAATACTTCTTGTTCTTTGTGGCTCCATTGCTAGTATTCAACTATGTTGGCTCAATAAGGGACACCACTGGCCTTCCGCCTTTCTTTGAAGTTTGTTACTGGATTGCATTGGTGCTGTGGTTGACTCTCATGTACTTTTGGACTTTCCAGAAAGTAGGTGTGCCTTGTTATTGGAAGTGGTGTGGCGAAGACGACAACTGTCACAGTGTGGAGGCAATTGTGAAATGGGCGTGGTTACTCATGTTCCCTCTTTGCCTATTGGTCATTGGTTTTAAGAAGGAGAAGGATTGGTCCCAGTTTTTTCTGTTTTCTTGTGTGGCTGCGGTGGCATTAAGTATTCTGGGTTTGTTGAGCTTTGACACAGCATTAACCTTGAAGAGGAAGAGCACATCTAGTAATGGCGATTTTTGGGGCGGAATAAAACAGTTTTGTCACCCAAGCTGGATCTGTGAACTACTTTGGCGCAACTGGCATCGTGTACTGTTTATGATTGGGACTTTCCTCTTCTGGGTATTTGCCATGTACTTCTTCAAGATAAAATCCACCACGCGTAAGGTTGAAGCTCCAAGCTATTCCCGCACCAAGAATGAAGAGTGTGTCCTGTGGGACTTCTTTGACTACCACGACATCTGGCACATGCTATCGTCGTTTGCACTCTTCATGAGTGGCTACCTTCTCATCTATGTAACCAGGAAAGTAGAAATCTACTTTTGGGTGGCGACCATGTACTGGATGGATAGACAAAAGGGAAGACAAAGACAAGCGAATGGATATGAGGGTAGTGGCGAGGAGATACAGAACGTTGTCATACATCCGACTCAAGAGGATGATATACTGCTTGAAGGTAAGAAAGACGAAAATGGAATTAACTTAGAGCAAAAGAGGCCATTGAACAATGTTTTAGAAAGATACGCAGCTCATACTAATGATTATGCTAATATTTCTTATGTGTGATCTAATAACTCAAGTCTCTCTTTGCTACATTTAAGGTAGCCTGAGAAAACAGCAGACATTTGGCGACACCTTCACTGGTTTCCCCGCGAAATGACATCTGAGAAAAGAGTGCAGAAATTCCATACTGATGAAGTGTCACTACCCAGTTTTGGGTGGCGCTCTTGATTGGTTGAAGCAAATTTCCCACGCGGCACGACCAATCAGAAGCACTACCAAGATCTGGGTAGTGACACGTCATCAGTATGGAATTTCTGTGCTTGTTTCTCAGACGTCATTTCGCGGGGAAACCACTGCTGGCGTCGCTAAATGTCGACTGTTTTCTAAGGCTACATTTACGTGTAAGTATAACTATACACTGATCGACAATGAGTTTATTTTAATAAAGCAGATACTGGTCTCACTGTATTAACTTTCCTAATGTGTATTCAGTTGAAAAGAAGTTTCATTACAAGTTTTATAGATTTGGTTCAAGCGGCAACTCGATTTAACGGACAATATTTTCAAACAACAATCATGAAGTAATAGCCATAATTAATCTTAAATTTTTCCTCTGTAAATGTTTATCTCTGACGTTATTACTAACTTTTATCTTTTTTATGACGTTAATATGTGTCACTGATAAATACCGTATTATCCCGTATTTATTGGATTAAACGCCGCCCTGGAATAGAGCGTTTTGACATGACGCCACAACCACTTTTTTTGGTGTCGCTAAACAATGAAACTGTTGTTATGGTGATGTTGGAGTAACAAACCGGTTCTGTGGTAGTTGCACCTTTTTCTTATGTGAAAACGTTCTTTTGTCCTAATAAATTCACAAAGCTGCTGGCCACGCGTGTGAAAACGCTCTGTAAACGCCGCCCTTCAATAAGTGCCTTACTCAATCATACACCAGGGGGAAGAGAGACAAAGGGGCTGTTTACATGGAGGGAGGAAGATCCTAGTACCAGGAAGATCCTAGAAGGTGGAATAACTTTACGTTGGGTTTACATGCAGAAATTTCGACCCGTGAGTTGTCCAAGTAGAGAAGGTTAGAGACAGAATTAAAAAATGGCGGGCGACAAAATCAAAAATGCAATTTGGGTCCTTCTGTTCTCTTTACTGGCGTAAATCACTACGTTTCACCTGAATTAACACAATAAGCGGCTCGTGGATTACTCCAAACGAAATGGTCGGCCTTTATTGCCGTAATTAGCCACTGAACGACCCGCTGCCATTTTTGTCGTTTGTCCCTAATACTAGGATCTTCCTAGCGAAAGTAGTTTACATGGTGCTAGGATCTTCCTACCTCTCAGCTAGGAAGATCCTAGTACTAGGAAGATCCTACC